TTATTAAAATTGCATCAGTCGTGCATCGATGGCGAAATCGCTGCATCAGCCCATCGTGCCCTACAACGTGACGGACCGGACGACAGCATCGTTTTCTACAATACACACACTTTTGCTTCCAACTTCGACCAAGAGTCACTAATTTAGCAATAATACTTTTATGTAATTTTTTTTTAATAAATTAGTTGCAATCAATTTCGTCCTTATTTGCAACTTGCCTGCCGGAAAGACATAATTCGCGCACAAACAAACAGACAAACAGACAACATTTTCAGGAATTATGGTAATGGGTTCTGTTAGTTATCTTTTAACACGCTGGCTATTTTTTTTTGTGTCAATTTCTTCAATGTACAAAAATTACTTTTCTACAGATTTATTATATGTATAGATTGTCATCATTCAAAAATTAATTGACACTTAAGTAATTGTAAATTAAATTGAATCCAATTAAGTAACATACAATACTTATGTCAAATAAAATTAGGATCATCAAATAAGTCTTAAGTAATGTCAATATTAACAAGATTTAACAAATTGTCTAGAGAGATTAATTTTCGCGTCATATTATTTAGCGTTCAAAATAACATTAACAGATATTAATACGCATGTGCATATACAAATAAAATAGAATTAATTCAATAAAATGTAAAAAACGATTAAAGTTACATGTCATATAGGCCAATGTCAAACAAATGGGGTTGTGCGCTATTGTCTGAGGCATTAATTATAGAATTGTCGTCCAAATAGGCCTTTTATAGCACTTATTTATCTTTTCAATAGTTCTTTTTTGAAGTAGTCTAAGTTTAACGTCTTTATTGTCTCAGGTAGTTTGTTAAATATTTCTGGGCCATACATGATGATGTATCACATCTGACATCTGAGTGATCTATTCAATCTTAAAGTTATGTTTTTAGGCAATTTTCAAGTGCTATAGTGCTCTTTATCACAGTTTTCTACTTTTACAGGTCTCTTTAAGGACTGGTGCACATCTCCTCGTCATGACGCCGAATGTCTTCTACACGTCATCGTGAGACGTGCGGTAACATGCCACGTTACGTTGCCCTACAATGACTCGTCATGACGTTGTTGTAAGCTCAGTTAATGCTCCATTGTCTTAGGGTATTACATCACACGGGTTTGGTTCAAAATGTATTCACGACGCATTGTGAACAGACGGGGGCTGCGCTTAAGCGGCTCCTACCCAACCTAAGGGGGCCTAAAAATACCTATTGCTGGTGGTTGTATACGGTGATGGCTATGACCCTCTACGGGGTTCTCGCGTCCGGGCCTAGTGCAGGCCATGATGCGGAGCGAGGGGACTGGGATGCCGTCTCCTCCTTTTGCGAAGCAGTCTTGCTAGCTAAGGAGGAGGCGGGACGCGTGAGGCAGCGAAGCGCTGCCCCCTCGCAACCCAGCCATCGCGAAGGACACACCGGGCGTCGGGGATCGCGGGACGATCTTCGGCCACCGTAAGCGCGGGCCTGCGGACGGCGAGCATGGGTGGCTCCCCGTCCGACCAGAAACAGACCCGAGCGTACGGTGCGTCGCGTTCCGCGCGCGCCTCAAAGAGCCATCAGACCATCACAGATGGGGCCCAATAGGGCCGATGCCGATTCGGAGTCGCGAAGAACCTAACGGGTAACCGGGGCTCTGGCTCGACGTGCAGGAGAAGGAACGGTGGTTTTTAGTCAGTATGAGTCTGACACTCCCTCCCGCCTCACCCAGGCGGGAGCAGTCATAAGTTGATTTACCCCCTTAAAAAAACATGACCCTCTACGGGGTCCCGGTATGGACGCAGGTGGTGCCGACGACAATCCTCCTCACGCCCTAGCCGCAGCAGGAAACACTACGGGTATTGGGGATCACGTGACGGTCTCCGGCGACCTGAATGCAGGTTTGCGGACGGCAAGCAGGGGTAGCTCGCTACCCGATTAGTTACACGCTCCGTCGCCGTCTGGTCTACCCAAGGTAGGAGAATTCGTTGGATGAATTTCCCCTCTTAAAAAAAAACGCGTTGTTGATGGCCAGTTCGATGTTACTCCTAAATTCGTCGAATTGATGGCATCGATAGACAATCGAATCGATCGATTTGTCTGTTAGAAACTGCTGACTAATCTATTCTACCGTAGATCGACATTCGATGATCGATCGATATTGGTGTGGTAACACCCTATGGAGAGAACTATTTAGTGATACATTTTTCGGTTGGTTTAAGATAATGACTTTTTAAATGTGTGGGTACACTACTCTACTATTTCTCAACAGTTTCTACTATACGCCGTGAAAATGATATTATTTACCCCCGATGTGTCGACTTATATCTTTTTAACTCGTCGAGTACCGGTTTTGTACTATAATGTACGAGTACTATAATGACGGTACCGACGAGTTAAAACGATTGTATGTTACAGATACAACAGATTTTAGTTCGGGAAAATAAAGATTTCACGGTGTATGATGTCGTGACCTGCGTCACGAAACTCACGCGCAACTTTTGATTATGTCTTTCGCTCTCTGCTTCACGTCCTCTGGCATCAAGTTCGACTCCAGGAGCTTGGGATAAGACGCACACGCGACCACCTAAGTGATACAAAATTAAAGTTTAATTATTATGCAGCATTATATCCAATCAAAATCGCGGCACGCGTGTACCGTACCGCCCACAAGGCCGTTCTAATCTTCTTTATATGTTCTGTGGGGCTAATATGGTGCTGGTCAGCTCCAGACTGTATCATTTTATTTTATTATCCTCAAGGTTATTTTCTTTTTCAGTCTTTCCGACTGGATTTAGGTGTTGCATTGTTCTCACATAATCGAACCAATAAAACTATGTAACTAGAGAATTGTATTGTAAACCTGATTGAAAAAGAGTAACATTTTTTCATTTCTTTTTTTCATTTAAAAAAATGGAAAACCTATGGTGTTTCTTGCTCGTTCTTCTCCATAGGAATACGCTACGCCTTTGAATGAGCAACTAGCTTCACTTATAAATTTTTGTTGTTTGACGTTCAAAAGTGCCATCCTGGTCTAATTGAAATAAATGATTTTGACTTTGACTTTGACTTTGTAGGAAATGAGCTGTCAGCCGAGAAAATTATAGGTACGTGTTAGTTAGTCATATCCCACGAGGCATACGTCGAGTTACAAGTCGATCTGTGTGTAGTGCCAAGTGTTGGACTACAGGCGTAAGCACCCATAGATATAATAACTTTTCTGCACCCATAGATATAATAACTTTTCTAATATTTCTGTGTAAGCACCTGTCTAATGAAGGTTAGAGGTGGCTGTCTCATGGCCTGTGCATCTCCCAGGTTTGCCAAGATGACCTGCTTGAAAGGCTTACTAGTTCCCTGTAAGCAAACAATAAAGACTACTTACAACAATATGCAACTCTGAAGCCAATACATTTTTTTGGGTATGTACTTTCTTTTTGATACAGTAAGTTTCCCGCACGGTCGCGATATCAGGTTATTACCTACACAAGTTTATCAAACTTGGCGATTAATGACAAATGTGTACGTACTTAAATTATAAAAATGCACGCGCGCCGTTAAATTTTCTTTTATTTTATTTTCCTACTTTTCATAATTGGGCGCTAACACTAACACTCGTTCACGACGCTGCGCCAATATCGCTTTGACATTGGTAGCAGCACTACTGATGTACGACTCGGCGGGTAGTAATGTATGTATACATACTTATGGCACCAACTTCCAACCTATCAGTGGGTGAGTAACCTATCAGTACTACTTAATAATAGTTATTTTTTGCTTTTTAGTTTTGTTTTTGACTTTTTGTGTGTTATTAGTTATTGGGTTTATGCAGTCGGTTTCTAAATTTGAACAAAAAAAATAAAATTATTTAATTTGTTAAACAATATTTTTTAACTTTTTTCATTTTCTTTCCTAGTGTATTTAAAAAATAATGTCTATTAAGTACAATATGCTGAATTTTATATTGTATTTCTCTTTCAGCATATTTTCCGTTGCTTCTGTCCGTGCGTCGCAGCAGGAGTCGTGCCAACTGAGAATCAGTGTTGGGTACTTACTGTGCCCTGGTGCCCAGCGTATACCGAGGAACTGGCACCTGGAAACCCTGTTGGGATAGGCGTGTTGCCTTATTTTGATTCTTATATTTTTATACTTTTTTATTTTAATGTTTTTATATTTCTCTATTAACTCGTCGAGTACCGGTTTTGTAGACACAATTATAGAACAATAGGTTGCGGTCACCGGTGACCGCTTGGTGTTTGACAGTTTAATTACTGTTATTTATACTTTTTATTACACTTATTATATTTTCGATTCTGCTTTTTGTTTGTTCGGTTATCTTTTATGCATGCTTATAATATTTTTGGTGCATCGTACCTGATTGCCTAGTGTCGAATAAATTATTTCTTTCATTATTGTTTATATCAGTTGGAGACACGTTCACGAGCCGCCAATTATGCATAACAAAATATGGTTAACTTAATAATAACAAATAACTATACTAAATTTAAAACCACAACTTCAAAAGAAAAATCCTTAAATAGTATAAATAACGAACAACAATTGTATCTACTGTACTACCAATTACTTATTTTTATTATCAGGTATGGTGCAGACAAATCTAATTCTAAGAAGGATTATGGGTACCTACCTATTACTATAAACCTGTTGTAAAATAATTTTAATGTTGTTAAACGTAATTATATAGAATAGAATCAGGCGTTACTTTGCGGATATCCGGATATCCATGCTACACTAACAACTGGAGAAATATTTAGTATTTATTCCGCTGAATGAATGAATCTGCAGCATGTGGTATGCAGCACCGTCCAAGTAAATGTTGATGTAGCAGAGATGCGACACAAAACACACACACGACACGCAACAAACAACTAGTCAAAGTCAAAGCATTTATTTCAATTAAACCATAGTTTGGTACTTTTGAAACGTCAATAAATACAAAATAAATAATAGTCTGTCTAGAAACTAGGTGAAGCTAGTTGCTCATTCCAAAATGTAGATTCGAATGGAGAAGAACGAGCAAAAACCTCCATTCGTTACTCTTTTTAAAAAAAGTATGTTCTACGATGTCTTTGACACATATTTCAATACTATACCTCTACGCATAGGTATGTAAGAACAATGCAAAGACACTTGTTCGAGTGGTTTCATTTCTTCAACGGAATAAAAACTAAATATTTTCCCGGTTGTTAGTGTTGTTAAACGTAGCCCATATGTATCCGTCGTACCTATAGCTTAGTAACAAGCTATATGTATACATTATTAATGGACTACCAGCAGATCTAACGATTTTATTTTAATGCAAACACTAGGTCTAAGCTCAAAACAATTATTACCGATGCCAGCTCCTTTGCTATTGCACCAGCACGGATAACAAGAGGTCCTCGCACGGCATATTGCAGCTTTATGATTTTTGGGTTCAAATTATCCATATCCAGCGAACATTTCTGCGACTTCTTTCGAATAATTACTATGCACCACGAGGGCAGGAATTGCGGCCGCGACGCCTTTGTCTGCCACATTCTGCCACATTCTGTCGCAAAACAATCATTCTGCAACGAATCGAGTCTACATTGTAAGGCTATAATACACCAACATATAGCTGTACTTACAGATTTACCAATTAAAACTGCCTTCAAAACGATTAAAACAAAAAATATTAAAAATGTATATAGACTTGAACACGAGCAAAATTCATCAAAATTTTCTGTGTTGGCTGACAGTAAAATTGAGACATTGACAATTAATTTTACCCAAAATAGAGTTTATCTATGTACAGCAGCCAGGACTGCCAGTAGTAGGTACGCAGGCAAGTTTGAACAAGATTTGTACATATCTACGTATGAATAACAGAGAGCAGGTCCAGAATTTCCACACGCCAAATCACAGCAGTACAACATACGCAATACTACACGTCATGTCAGAAAAATGAGAAAAATCATAACGATACGTAATCTTAAACATTATAACAGCCTTAAGGGCATCTAAGTATGGAGATCATACCCACGCACACGGCGGCGACGGACACAAACGAAATATAGCAGATTGTATTAATTGAAAGCTCTGATTTAAGATGTAGGTAATTAGTTTGAGCGGCCCTCGGCCCCTCCATGGCCCACGCCGGCCACAGATTAGACTACTTCTGTTTGGAAGCTATCACAGAATTATATAATTTATACATATATTCCCAAAGTCCCAAAGCTCATTTAATTCTGTCCCGGAGTTCTCTTTTCATGAACATGTTCCGCACGATGTTTTCCTTGACTACTTGTCTGTAGTGTCTAAATAATCTTAGAAAGTACAAACATACACAAAGTACGTGCATTATCTCGGAAAAGTCACACATCGGTACTTGTCGTAAGTTTCGAATCCGGACTCTCATGATGAGAAACGGACGTCTTAAGCCTCCGGGCTACCAAGACACAGTTGTTGTTGTTTTATTGATTTACACAACACAGTGCTTTATTCAATTTGATCCCAATCGAGCAAAAATCATTGAATAATGCAGCGGTTGCGTTTGTTGCCCAAGAGAGGTAATGAACTATGCTAGCTAACTATGAAATGTATTGGCGCACGGCGCACCTCCCTACAGTGCGGCGGCCGTTCCTAAGTGAGCAGTAGTACTCGTTTAACTTTTTCTTCCATATTGTGTTGCATTTAATAAATAAACATATGATATTGTTTCTTTTCTGTTTATTTTCTTTTTGTGCATAGACCCGTTTTACTACTAATAATTCACATTGGTATAAAGCAAATAAAGTTCTAATCAATACAAAAATTATACAAGCCAAAACTCATGGTAGTTACTGTAAACCGACGAGTAATTCCTTCGACTGTCTGTCGGCTCCATCATCAGGTCGACTCCAGACCATTCATCAACAGCCTATAAATGCCCACTGCTGAGCAAAGCCTCTTCTCACACAGAGAAGGTTTGAGCATTGATGATGGAATTTTATGGAAAGGGTGTATGATGGAATCGTATGAATCTAATCTTATCGGAACTTGTATGGGCGAGTAATGCGTCTATTATGTTTTTCAATAAAGATTTTTTAAATGTTACAATTTAGTAATGGTCTGGAGAATTAGATTATTCAGACAAAACTGACAAACGGTGAAGGAAAACATCGTGAGGAAACCTGGGCTTATAATTTCTAATTATAAGTTTGAAATCGCCAACCCGCATTAAGCAAGCGTGGTGATTAAGTAGATACTAACCTAATGAAAGTTTGGTTCGTGTCCGCGACTCTTCACAAAACAGATCAGTCAGATATGCCCAATGACCTTTAACAGCACATATTGATTGTTCAGCGTTAGGCTTTGCTTACACTTACGCTTTACATACAGACATAATTTCCAATTGTTGCCTGAAGCCTTAATTTAGTTAGTGTTCCGAACTGAAGCCTGAACCACAGCGTAAATTTTCCCGCCACACGATGACGTTTCTTTTTTTCTCTATGCCTCGAACAACATAGACAATCATAATCTACTCAGTTTACAATCTATGGTTTACAATGAGACGGCGACAGACCAGTGTTGCCATTGCTACGGCAATTGCCGTATTCTATGGAAATGGCACCTTATTTTTTAATGATCTACGGTCTACAGCAACAATAGTGTACTGCCGTAACAAAATCTACGGCAATTTGGTTAATTCATCAAATTAAAAGGATTAAAGGATAATCTGATGATATGTTCGACACTATAGTGCAGGAGATACTCCTATACTGAACAAATATTTCAGAAAATCAAATAATTTAATCAGTAAGTATTTATAACTAAGTAGTATTTATGTTACTATTGCTTTTTAATTAATTTTATCGAAATAATGATGAAAAATATAGACCTTCTGTTCACTAAAATATATTAAAAAGTTAAAAATACAATAATACATAGTGTCTGAATGTTGCTACGGCCTCCGGGAATATATTTCCCCAATCTTAATAACTAACATGCTGCAAAGAAGCTAAACACGGCTGACGTGCGTGACAGCAGTCCACCAAATTCCAAAATTTATTATTCCTGGCAACACTGCGACAGAGAGACTAATTATTTTTTACTTTAAATATGTAATTTCTATCTAAGATAACACGTAAATCTGCTAATTATTGTCCTGCGCACCGAAATCATTAAATCAATCATTATTAATAGGATGCTTGCTGAAGTCGTACGTAAAGTGACTTATATTTAGAAATGAAGGCTGATAACACTATTGTACTTGGGACGGACGACGAATCTTTTTTTTTTGTTTACTATTATTATCACGTTGAATACTTACCGTCAACCTATTTTAGTATAGATAGCTAACATGAGCATAATTATGTATAGTGTTTGTTAGATTGAATTGAAATTCTTTACGTAACGGTGGTTATCTAATATTTTTAAAATAGTGTATCTTGTTTTCTATGAATATAATTAGGTAGTACTGAAATTAAAAATTAATAGCAGTTAAATCAGTAGGTAATCTCAATTTCACAACAGTATTGTATCATATTATCAGTTATCACCAAATGATTAAGATAACCTGCAGGGGGGTCATCATCGAATAAAGTCTTTCGACACGTATGAACGACTTGAATAGTATTGAATTCGCAGTTCAGTGGAACTCACAACATTGTGGACTTTATTTGTTGATAATAAATTATTGTTGTCGTGCGCACGTATCGATTGATTTCTCGGGCTTCGGCTAAAAAGCAACAAATATTTCCCAGTGATCAGTGTACCTCTGCGTTTGTTAGTTGTGATGTGTGTGTAACTGTAAAGCTTTTCATTTTTTAAGTTATTGTTCTGAATTAATTTGTGTATTCTATTTTTGCGGTGCGCAGAACCAGTGACGTATAGAGTAGTCCGATTGATTGCCGACCATGTCGCAGATAAAGTTGATAAGCCGCGCTAGTCGCGTGTTGTCCGTGTCCGGTGTAGCAGTGCGGGCAGAGTTAAGCGGAACGGTTTTACCACAGCCACAAGGAAATCATACGAGCGTTAGAACCATGGCGAGTGCACAGAAAAAAACTCTAACTTTGGAAACATTGAACCCAAACATTACAAAATTAGAATACGCCGTACGTGGACCTCTAGTCATCCGCGCCGCTGAAATAGAAAAGGAGCTTGAGAAGGTATGTTCTGAATATTTTTGATTATTATTTCGTAAAATAATGTTAATAAATATTCATAGTTATTTTGATTTATTGTTCAAGCATAACAAATAGTACCTACTCAAGTATTGATCAATACCTGCCTAAAGTGAAAGTTCTTAGAGTTTGTTGTTATCATATAGACAATATTTAATAAAATAACGTAAGAATTTTGTTCATATTTGGTAGTTCAAGGCATGTTCAGTATTGTTAGTTGCCAGTAAGTTAGATTATGTTATAAACAATTATTGTGTACATACTGTCACTGCAGTGTATCATTTCAACATATGTTGTTACAGTCATACACAGTATGACTTCATTTTTGTGGTCATTATTTTAACATAGGTAATTTATTTGTTATGTTGCATTGTTTTGTACTGATGTCACCAGTAAATATCTTCCACGAATTTAGAGTTTATTAACCTACCCACATGCATATTTTTTGATTAGTTAGTTAAACTGTCAAATACCAAGCGGTCACCGGTGACCGCAACCTATTGTTCTATAATTGTGTCTGCAAAACCGGTACTCGACGAGTTAACATAAAACATTAAATAGAATAGAGCTTTTTACTTATGATGTAAACAAAATTTTACATACTTAAATCTCCTGTTATCACTAATCATGACAAGTGTCTAAATGATGCATATGTTATTAAAACATAATTATGGTGTAACATGTTTTGTTGCTTCATATTATAACTGGGGTTATCATCAGTTGCCACTAACAATAATGTATAAATCAATGTAGTGTTGATTGGTGATGCAGTCATCCTGTAGTGATTTCATCAATTTGTGTAAGTTACCGACATGAAACGCAGGGACGTACAGTTACTTTCTCTCTTCTTTCTGTAAGAAGAAGAATGTGTATCAGTCAACCTACATATCATTTAACCCGTTGATATCCATCCCCTAAATTTGGTCATACAAAAGTATTCTCTAAACATTAGAAATAAGGTCTATAATTTAATGTAATATTAGTGGAAAGCGGTCACTGGTGACCGCTTGGGGATTTATGGGTTAAGGTCTATGGTATTGAACTGGGAAAATACATTTACATATACATACCTTGGAACAGGTGTTCCTCATAAATCACATTATAAAAGACAATTCTGCTCTCAGCTACAAATTCTACAAGCTTGTAACTAAATATTAAAAAAAAAGAATTATTCAAACAGCTGTCCATTTGGACTGGCTCCACCTGAAGTATAATTCTTACCTAGCATAGCTACAAAATTGAAGCTCCACATTTACTTAAACATGAAATCCATAGGTAGTGCCTAATTAAGAGCACCCAGCTTTGAGCACCAGAATTACTCAACTATGTTTACGTATCTATTACCATGTATCTTTGATATTTTTATTTAAAAATCTTAGTATTTTTTGTGCATAAATAGGTGCTAGGTCAGGGCAGTCGACTAGTAAACATTCATATAGCTCATCTCAATTGAATTGTTTGCCCAATAAGTACTATTACTCGTTTCTCTTGTAAAGTAATAATTATCTCAATTTCAACACTACGAGATTAGAATTCATGCTGAGTTGTTAATTAGTTACTGAAATATTTATGGAGTTTTTTTATCACTATCGCAGGTACATATTGTCATAAATTATAATTTACAAGCAATAATTCCTTCATTGTTAACCTGTTGTATGCCGGAACACGGAACCATAAGAGACACAATGTATCTTTTATTGTCTTGTAAATACCGGCAATCAAGTGGTGAAGATGAATCAATTTTTGCGCTATATATGGTATTGTCTTTGTTTTGATCATTTACTCTAAAGAAAAACAAATTTTAAGAACTAGTCTGTATTAAGGCTATCATGAAAAGACATATTTTACATTATCATGTATGTATAATGTAAAACCATTAACCATATATTGGTATATATATATGTATACCGATATGAGACACAATACATTGTGTCTCGCATAGATCTACGTTCTGGCATATCACGGGTTAATAGAGCCTTATGTTCAAACAATATATCGGAATGGTATCTAACAGAACAAATTATACATTGTAACTATACTGATTCTCTTGACACTAATTACAGTTGATAAGACACTGAGGTGTATTTACCTAGTTATTTGTGTAATTTTACAATAGTAGTATACTTCTCTACCTGAATATACATTTAATAGTTAGCAGAGTCTAGATAAATTTACTTTTGAAACATTTTAATAAAAAATTGCAATTGTGTACAGAAGACTATTGGCGTCGGCAACGGGCAAACTACTGACAGTAGTTATGTGCGAAATAATACACACAAACATAAGCTGTACCTACGTGATTGCATGTCAGTCGATAGCAGCACACTGCGCCACTTTATGATATTAATAATGCAAGAATAGGCCAGTCGGGTAGGTAGTAGGTACCAAGGCTCACCTACTTTATATAAGGTCACGAATCTATAGTTCATTGTACCTGGGTGTTCAGGAACAACAACAGATAAATCGTCGTAGCAAATCAATGTGCCATCGCTGGCAATCAGTCATCTCGTTATGTTCTTATGTTACGGTTGCTGCCGGTCTGTCGGCAGCTAACCGAGTGTGAAACGGTTGTGGTCTGTGTGGTGGGCATTATGTAACACATACCTGTAACAGTGACACACTATGCCACCGTGCCACTGACAACTGTAGGCCAGGGCCTTGCTAACTATATAGAGATAAGTTATTGTTTTTAACCGACACAAAGAACATCAGAAAATTGATTACCTACTTACTCTTGCTTAGGTTCTCAATTGGAACGTATTTTTTTTATAAATTATAGTCAGGTTATGTTCGTATCCATCCAATAGTCAGATTAAATTTTAAAGGTTCTTTTTCCTGTACCGATTAAAGTAAATAGCTTAATTAATAGGTAACAAATACCTACCCACAAAAGTTTATGTTGCGAAGAAAACAAAAATAACGAAGTAGGTACGATGCACTCTACAGCGGTGTGTGGAATTACTAGGATGTAGATATGTACACATTGTAAATGTCCTTAAAATAGATATGCGCAAGCACGAGTCATTGCAACTGGTACTTATGTGAGAATTCGCAGATAGTGTAAACTTCGATTCGACCACCTCGCAGTCTTTGACAGTCATATTCAAGAAGACTGAAGAAGATACTTTTACGTTTCAACGTGCCTCATTACGGATTAATATAATTGAAATAAATGCTTCATTGACTTTGAAGCGAACCTGGGATTCGTTACATGCCAGTCGCTCAGCCACTGGGCCAGTGCAGTCTAATAATGAAAAGTACCTACCTTTTCTTAGAACTTAGAACTCGATTTACGTATTTAATCAAAATAATTATTAGGGTGCGTACTCTGTACAATGTACAACAATTTACAAGAGTACAACCGTGTATACAACATCTTTCATTACTTTTTATCAACAACGCTTGCTATCAATAGAATACAAGACAAAGATTGCACAATCAATGCTTAGCAACAGAAGCATACGTTGTAGACGCAACTTTAGGGAATTAGGTAACCTAGGTAAGGTGTAATTGAATTTACAATGGTTATTGTTTGTCGGCAGGGAGCACAGAAGCCGTTCAAGCGAGTGATCAAAGCAAACATCGGAGATGCTCACGCCATGGGACAGCAACCCATCACCTTCATCAGACAGGTAAGGACGTCTGCCCTCACTCGTCAATGGCAGCAAAACGAATCGAAAAATTTGTTAGCTAGTATACAACCATACACTTATACAGTGTCAAATGAATTAGGTACCTAACAAATGAAATCTGATAATCTGAATCTGAATGATAGATGATTAGTAATCGCTGGAAGTTTTTTCTTTGTATTCTTTATTTGACGCTGAGATAGGAATGTTGCGTGTATAGTATTGTATTGATTAAGTCTACAGATCGCACGGTCAACGAAATACCTAAATAGATAAGTAACCACCCAGGTAACGTTGGCTGACTCGAGCAAGTAAGTAGCACAGCTACAGCACACCGTAGTTTCCATCTATAATATTGGCATGGAAGATTGACACATCAATCAGTGCCGGATTTATATTGTTTATGAGTGTAGGCCACTTTTTTCCGCCGCCCCATGTATCTACTTCCCTTTCTATAATAATAATTTGCATTTATTGTAGTATATTGCATGAAACATGAAACAAAATTTAGGTACTTATATTTATTACGGGACTTTAATAGCAAAATCTACAGAGTGACTTCTAACTCGACGTATTTCTCTCAGACTCTCAGGAGGTAATTATACAACTAATTTATTTATGGCTAGATACTAAATATTCCAATAAGTGGATCGCATGATGTGGACCACCTGGCCAGCCAGGAGTCCAGACTTGACCCCCATGGACATTTGACGACATTATGTGTACAATGAACTGAACCCAGTAGAAACGATTGACGTTTTAAAACAAAAAAATATTATGTCGCTAATGAAATAAGAAGAGGACTAACTGTTGTTAAAAGTGGCCTTAAGACACAACAGAGGTGTACTACGCCTCTGTTGATGTAGTCACTTGCAGTTTTATGGTTATGGTTCAAACAATAAAGCAACTAATCTTCTACACAAAAATAGCAAAAAACAGAACAACATTAAGATAAAAATCTGGAATTTTGATAAAAGTAATACAAAGGCTGATCTTGAGAATGATTAAGTTTAGGATATGGGATTCCTAAGTCAAATCGGTCAGGAATAATGGATACCACCATCTCTAAAAGGATTTAGGTCAACTTACCCTGTAACCCTGTATATACCCAGTATGCTACGTATACCCCACATGGGTGTAAAGTTCTCATCATAACAAATTATTCAAGCTCAAATGCCAGGTAAACCATGAAAGCTATTAATAGATAGATAGATAGATAGATAGATTCATTTATTTGCCTGAAATATGGTGGTTTACAGATTTTATGACATAACATTAGTTCATCATATCTCGCCTATAAATTTGGCATGCAAATACTTCAATAAAACTAAATCACAATTTTCAAAAATGATTCTAAGTTAGAACAAACAATCT